TAAAAAATATTCATTTATTACCTCTACAGTTTATCCATACCAGGCATAAGAACTTGTCTCACATTCATGTTAATTCTATTTGTTCTTATATACTCCAGCATTTTTACAATTCTCTGTTCATCATCAGAATCAGAATTTAATTTTTGTCTTTTATTAAAAGGGCAGTTATCATCACATCTCTCACTGCCCAAGTCACCTTCCTGATTTCGGTTAATTTCAGATGTTAAGTTTCCTTCAGCTTCATGCACTGCATTCCATGGCTCCTCTGGCACGAGCCGTATTCGAGGAACTGCGTGATATCCCTTCCGACTGGCACCCGACATGATCATGATGTCCCCACTGTGGAGAAAGAGTGCTGAGGGTTCCGTGCTCTTGCTTGGCCCTCCAATGAGAAACACTGCACTCTGTCCAAAACTGTTCGTGTGAGAAGAAAGGAGAGAAATAAAGATGTTTAGTTTGTGATTATTGGTAATAATATATTTTGAATAAGAAGAGAGAGGTCAGTTCATGGTTTTGAAATTGTCAGAAAATATTTTTTCTATTATGTGCCTATGTTATCCAGTAAAAAAAGAAAGAAAGAAAAAAAAACTGTAATACTGAAATCTATATAACGATATTACACTGTGAACATCTTCAAGCACTATCTAAATTTTAAAAAGTATTCAATTATCATCAAGAAACACTAACAAGCAATTCAGTAATACCAGTGACATATAACAGAAAAAAAGTTAAACCAAACAAACCTGAATGATAGCAGGGGAGCTTCCATATTTGGCTCTGAGTGGTCTGTGTGGGGAGCGAGTGTTGAGTCTTTGTGATAGTAATTCACAATGGCTGCTTCTGCTCGAAAACTATCAAATCCAACCACTTTTGCTACTATTCTGCACAGTATTTGTAGGGAAAGGGGTATATCTCCCTTCATATCTTCACTATATTCCTGTTGGCAATAAAAGGAATAGAAAATTAAGATGCTACTTTTTAAACTCAGAAGCAATACCAGATGATCAATGGAAGCAAAAAAAAGATTATTGAAAAAAAAAAAAAAAAAAAAATCAAAACAAAGGTAAAAGCTATAAATCTTCCCTTTCAGATCCAGCTAATTCAATTCTTAAGATAATTTGACCACCAAAATTTGGAAAGTATACTGTACTCTGAAATTCCTGAGTCTCCTTGAAAAGGGTAAACACTTGCTACTTGGTTTGCAAACTGCATCAAATTGTTAGTGAGAAAGTAGCAAGCAGGTGTGCAAGGCTGTTTTATTCAGGGAATTTAGTTTTACCTGCTATTCCTTTATGTTAATTATCATACATATTTACATTAGCAGAGATTATTTACTAAATATAGCATTCTTATATATTGTGTAAAATAAAATAAACTTGAATACTTTTAAAAAATGACTGAAATAAAAAACTTAAAGATGTAAGAATTTAATCCTATTATCCTTATATCATGTATAAAAAGGCGGCTTCATGTTAGTTAATAAAGTAACAAAATTCCGAGCAGCATTCTCAGCATTTCATTCCATTAAAATGATCTGCTTTTAGCCTGATGAATATTCCAAAAAATCCAGGATAATTACTTTGACATATTTCCCGTTTTACAAATATTCAACATGGTTACATGATGAAGGCACTTTACTTGTTATATGCTAAATTAGCAGAGGAATCATCATCTGGTAACAGTGAAAGAGAAATGGGGAACTTTAATAAATAGACCAGTTTCTCTTGGATTAATAAAATCTCCTTGAGGCATTTTTAAGAAATACCCTGATTGGAAAAAAAGGAATCTTCCAGTTAACATTGACTACCAGGATGGCTGAAACTCTCTGTAAATGGTTATAATTTTAAAGTAATCATACAGTCATTCCATCACTCAGTTTAAATGGAGAAAATATTGTGTGTAATCAACAAACTCACTAAAAAACATGACTTTAAAGTCATAGGGTTATGAATCACTATCGACAGATTAGCAACTGACATACAAAATTTATGCATGCACCTGTAACCTGTCCCATGCTGATGCAAGGGAAAAAAGAAAAAGAAAAAGAAAAAAAATCTACTTGCAATATGATTTACAAAAATAGGTTAATCTTGCACAGATGACATCCTATTGCTAATTAAATAATGAAATGACAAATGTAATACATAACATCAATGAACCATTATTTTTGTTTTCATTATCTCTAGTTTATATTCCAGTGCAGTATTATATATCATTGAGTTACAAATCAACTACATATTCAGCTTCCTAGACTTCAGGGACAACCAAAAGAATCCTCTTTTTATCTGGTAATCAAAGGTACAACAAAAATATAAAAGGAAGTTTTGTGACTAATAGCTTAACTTGTCTATTTATCAGTCTAACCTGTAACTTGATTTTTTTTTTTTTTTTTAGGTTAAACAGGTTCCTAGTTTGTTCAATATCTAATAGCACAAACTGAAACAATAACAATAAGAGTGTCAGTATTAAAAATGAGTCAGAATAGTTTGTGCTTTTAGAGGTTTATATCACATTCAGGAAATAAGCAATTAGATTTTCAAAAACTTGTTTAAATTTTCACTTTTTCTTTTGAGATTCTCTGTAGCAAAAGATAGATATCACCACCTCCATATAACCTCCTGAATCCTAAAATGAAACTGATTTTTTTCCTATAGTATTCAGGTGACTGTTTATGCTACCGAACACTACATTATCATAAGCTAAAGTGTGGAATTTTTGTATTACTTCTAGTAATTATAATAATATTAAGTAAATTACACAAATGATTATCAAGCTATATCTGGAATCTAACGATGCAATCTCACCAACTAAATAAGGTGATGTTATCTACCTCTGTTCCATTTTCACACCTGCCAGTCTGTGCAATATATTAGCAAAAAAATTTTCTCTGTACATTTCTTTGAAGATGGTTCAGTAACAAAAAAATAACAAAAAATTTAAAGACAGAAAAATAAAGAAACCCTATTAACCCATTGCCGCCAAGGAAAATGAACAAGAAATGGGGAAAATGCTGTGCCTATTTTATATACTTTTTTGTTAAACGTCTGCCCATAGATGGCTCTGTTAGCGCCTGATTTGAAATGGCGGGAAAAATGTATTTTTCACTAGTGCCATGAATATCAATGGTGTTATCTTTATCATAAACATTATAATTTTTATAATGTTTTTTAACATTAGTAACTGCAAAATAAGATAACGTAAAATATTTTGCAAATCAAAGACGTAACTGGCTCATTGGTGATTTAGTACAAGTGTAGCCCTCTATGTGTGAAAACAATCTAAAAAATAATCTCACAGAGAGCATGGCATGGCATGCCCGGCTGGAATGGGTTAATATTTACAACAAATAATGGTAGGAGGATTGGGGGCTTAGCTTGGCAGTTACCAACCAGGATTTACATAGAGCACCCTGAGTACTTTCCAACAGCTTACTTTGGTGTCCCAGTTGTGATGGTAACCGAGGGTCACCCATCGCAACATCTTCTGTACTCCTTGCTGATCTCCTTCAGGTCTGTGTGTGAGCTTTCAGTAAGGTTCTGGGGCCTTAGAAGAAAGGGTAATTATCTAAAGGCAGAGCACTATTTATGAATATAAATACACAACATACTGTATGTATAACTATTCTAACATGCACACAAAATAACAGGAAATTGCAAGAATAAGTGTATGAGCAAATAAATGTGTAAAACTGTTTTTCTATTAAGTTATTCCTTCACACATATACAAAAAAGAATTATTTGTTGAAATGAACAAAAGGTAACTAGTCAATTCACTTCACTTCAGATGAAAACAAATAGAAAAACATGTCAATCAATGTTCAAATGAAGACAAGTCAAGAATTAGTTAAAAATAAATAAATTAAAAAATAATAATAATAATTTTCCCTTAATATGCTTTCCCTACACAAACATTGATATTCATATTCAACTTACGAATGGACAAGATCCCACCACGAAGCACTTCCCAGATCAATACCATGGGATATTAAGTTTGTCTTGTTGGGTGAGCAAGGATAATCCATCAAACACCTTCTAATCCATTCCTGCTGACCTTGACTTGTAAATGGATTTAATATGATCATCAACCCTGAGAATTCAAATAAATATCCACTAGAAAAGCTGAATTCATTAGGATGAATTAAAGATTATATCTTTGGAATATATCTTAACAAAAGTTAACGTTTTGCTAAAATATTAGCATATATAAAACATGTATATCTAGTTATTATAAAAAAAAATAAAAAGTTGTGTAACAGAATTAATAATTTTACAAATCAAGATATCTAACTTACAACTTGATTAAAAAAAAATGTTTCTTAGACTTTTGTAACATGCAAAGTGAAATAGCATACAGTTGCCTATATATTAAACTTTTTATACAAGTGTTCAGGCTTTTCCTCTGTACCTGGATGAGACTCCAGTGCATAAATTTTCCATGTTGAATGTGGCACAAGCCCAACCTCCTTGGCTTGTTCTTGCTCCTCTGGAGTGAGGCTACATGGTGGTATCTGCTTTTCAGCCTGGAAGGTAAGAATTTCATACGTAAATAAAAACAAATAAAATTTTTTAACACTTGAAAACAAGTCCACAACATAATTATAGTCCTAAAACATCAGTGTCTATGAAAGCTTCATGACAGATGAAAATTTCTTTCTAGCACTTGAAGACAAACTAATAGAGCAGTTTTATAGAAGTATGTGAATCCACTTGGTTTCAAAATTATCTAGCTATCTAATTACTGAATAATTCTGAAATTTGTAATTTTCAAAAATAAATAATCTAAGTGCTTCAACTTATTTTTCTTCATCGTGAAATTTCACTCCCACATTTATCAATTAAGTTCATACTTTCATCAATTAACAAAACATGCTGCCCTATCACTCTACTGAAAAAGGAGCTACTAGCTAGTTATCAATGAACTAATGGAAAAAAAGCATCTGTTTGGAAAGGTAACACATACATGTAAGTACAATATAATTTCTGCAGAACTGAAGATCCTGAATACCCTTTTCAGTCCTTCTAATGATTCCATTCAAGGGTATATTATAAAGCAATATTATGTATGTTATTTGCTTATCCATTATGAGCATGGTAACAACATAGTAGAAGTTGTTATCTCATATTTCCAAACTGAAACTCTTGTGCAATATATACCTTCAAGGCCCCAACCTGAAGGACATTGCTGAAGTCAGGAGGAGGCTGCCTTCTCTTGTAATATTTAAATAGTGGTTTGAACTTATCTTCATTGGTATCAGCATTATGACATCCTTCAGCCATTGGTTCTGATGAGAAAAGATTGAGGTAAATACAAATACATCCCATTCATAGGGGATTTTTTTGAAGAATATATCAAATGACCATTCAGTAGTTTTCTTTACAAGTTTACCATTTTGGGCTAAACTTTGTTCCTTAATTAGTATTTTATTTTATTTTCTAATCACTGATTTGCCTTCTGAATATTCTGAAAAAAACTATAATTTTGAGCATTTTACAATGATTAAAAAAATGCCTTCAACAAGCAATTAATGTATTAATAAATAACAAAAAATATGCAAATAGAATATATATAGCAACACAAGTATATTTTTAACATGTAAAACTTATTGATATACATCAAGATACATAAAAAGTAAAAAGATAATGATAAACCTAGAGGTGACCCTATGATTCAAAACAGTATGTGTAGAGGTAAAATTGCATGGGGGCAAGACAGTGGGTTTAACTGGATGAAGCATAACTTACAGTACCAGTAATAAAATTTCGCACCCACTACATTCCATTCATACAAATAAAGAGACTGAGTACACAACTTTATGACTGACTCAAAAAGAGGAGGACTACAAGGGGAATGAAAGTAAAGGGATAATATTTGAGGTGTGATTAGTCCTATACTCTAGGCTGGCATACATACATAGATACAGTTACTTTACAAGTGTGGGAAAGGAAGGAAAGCAGCCATATCAATTGGTTTTGCAAAGGCACAGTTCCTACAAATAATGATATGCCACTCTTCCTCAAAAACTGTGGGGTATAGAGTTTCTGCACAATAATTTCTAATTTTATTAATAATATAGATGATGAAATCCCTCGAGAACTACAATTAACCTTTCTGATTCCTGGTTACACCATTATCATCGTCTGGCTCAGTTTAATTGCTAAAGCAGTCTACGTTATTTTAGTCTCTTAGAAAGGCAGATTTGTCTCAATTTTGATACATCTACATAGTTCATTCATTGACAATAGCAGCAGCCTCAATAAATCAAAATAAACGAAGCAAAACGTTAGGTCACACCTCATGCATTCCAAACTGCCAAATAAGGATATATTCGACTGTATTTAAAGCATCATTAACAAATCTCGAAAAGAAATGGTTAAGTACCGAAGCATAAGTGACAACAAATCACCTGCAACCCAATTTCTGACAGATGTAAGAAATGTAGTATGGCGTTTCGAAAATCACATGTATTGCCGTTTGTTTACTAAATCAGCTGATGTTGGGATCATAGATATAAACATATAATAAATATAAACTAAATATGAAATTATTAATATTATTTATCAATTAATATACGTGAATCAAATGCAAAAGATTAATCATTAATACTGATATAAACGTTAGTAACGATATAAGTATGCATATAAGATTTTCCACTTGGAAAATATTATCACTTTACTATATATCATTGTTATTATTGTCATACTGGCATGATCATACACATCTATATTAAAGCATAAGGAGAACAATAAGGAGATGTTACTTTATTGCCACGAATGAATAGGGCCAAGCAAGCCAAAATAAAAACGGTAGTAAAACTGCCACACGAGTTGAAATCCAGGAACAACAATAATAATTATTATTATTCTAATTAATGTTATAGGTCAGAAGCTCTTCATTTATGCTCAAATAAAGCTATCCATTTATGAAATATAATCCTTAAATTCTTATGACAGAAAACTAAGGGATTAAAACCACGAAGTAGAGTTAGGTGCAAGTGAGGCCGTGGTTGTAGATGTTATGTTTATGTTGGGGATGAAATACGTGTAGGCGATCTTGGTTGTTGCTTGAGATAAGGGTCAAAATACACCATTTCACCAAATCAGTTCTTTTTGCACCACAGTTCTTTTTATATAATCTTATTTTGTCATTCCTACATAACAGGATACTGCACAAGGAAGGGAACCATACCACAGAAACGAGGACTGGGAGAAAACAATGGCAGTCGAAACTACATGTATATTTACTTGAAGTACAATGACACAATACAATACAATAGTTATTAAAAGAAGAACTCACAGGTCTCTTGGAGGATAAGGATATATGAATAAATATACCCACAGTGATGTCACACATGAAGATAAGAATAAATTCAATTTCTTATCATTTTTTTTTCTGGACTAGTGACATGCTGTTGCAGAACGTTGCTAGAGAGAAAGACTGCATTGTATTCTATGTATTTTAAAGTCATTTAATGTAAAATCAATATAGCAGTGTTCTGCAAGTGTACAACAATTATCCCAGGCACTGAGGAAAGTAAAGGCTACAGCACACTGACTAACTGGCTCAAAGTGAATTCTGATTGGAGATAGGAGTTGGATGAGTGTATGACGTCAGGCTGTCATTAATCATAAAAAGACATTCAGAATAAACTGGGGTAGTAAATTCATGGATGTTTATTGTTTAGAATAGTTAAATTAAAAGGATAATTGTTTGTGAAACCACTTGTTTGTTCGAATAATAATTCCAGTTTATTTACCCCCAAAAAGTTTTCTTCCATGACTAGGATTTCATAGAAGACGGAGTGAAGGGTAAACTTACTTAATACACTACAATTATACTATGACGGCTAATATACCGATGCACCTTTGATTATATGAATTAAAGTTTGCCCATGGTTTGTGAGTGTTTTATTGTCTTCTGCTTTGTTGCCTGATTTTTCTTTTTTTCTTTTTGAGTGTTTTTGATTTTGCGTTTACGAATATAAAAATCAAGTGACTGAAAACTCTGGATGACACCAGATAATGACTATTTGCTTTAACGTAAATGTGGATGACTTAGTCCATGTTTGAGACAAGATCACAGTCGGCATTTTCTTCAGAAAGAGTTGGGCATGTAGAAGAACGATTACGCGAGTTACAGATTGTCAGATTGATATTGAGATATTGTGAGCACTCAAGTGCTAATGTGACTTTCGGCAAAGCATCGAATACTGATTTCATAATTTCTTTAGGCAACTTGCCTGTTTCACAGATATCATTTAGGATCAATACCTTTCTCTCCTAAGCAAGTCCTGAGCATTTCAATGTATACGCCGTCAGGACCTGTAGCTTTTCCAGATTTCATTTGCTGTAGGGACCAACGCACTTCTGCCTTCAGAATTAGTGGACCAGATGTGACAGCTTCCAACTCTAGATCTGTTGGTGGTACATGTTCATCGTCAAAAGGTTTTGAACATATTCTTCCTAAGGAACACTGATACCCTCGGTCTAAAAAGGGTCGTTGACCAGTAATTTTTCTTATAATTTAGAACAATGGTGATAGCTGTAATAATGATAATATTAATAGTACTAATAATAAAGATAATAATAATAATTATAACAATGAAGCAACAGTACCACCAACAATAATACCAATGATAATAATGATAATAAGATACCACAAATAATGATAATAAGATACCATAAATATTGATAATAAGATACCATAAATAATGATAACCATAGTTTTAGATAATAATTTTACTATTATAGAAATATAAAAAAAACAGCAGCAACAACAGCCATAATGACAATAAAGATAATGATAATCATGACAATAATGTCAATGAATTCTACCCAAATGTGTTGTCACGCCTGCTTCCAGTAGCTGCAGTTCGAAGGAGCTCATTCGATCTAACATAAACACATACGCAGTTAATAAGCGTTATGCTTTGAACGAATATGCACCGTATGTGAATTTCTTCAGTCTTCATCAGAGTACTGTAATCAAATGGAATGGAAACCCAGAGCGGGGGGGGGGCGGGGGATACCTAAAACCGGCCCATAAATGTAGACCATTCTGGCGAGTGAAATTCTACCAATTACAGGGACATGTTGAAACCGTATAAAGTTAGTTAAGTATTAGCACACATTTTAGGGTCAGTACTAAAGATTTGATTTCGGTTTAACGTCACGAAAATCCCTTTTTGATCATTTGACCATTCTCTTGTGATCCTATTAAAAAGGACCTTATTTTGATAATTAACATCAAATAGGAACAAAGCATATCCATCATATAATTTATATTGTATGTCTAAGACGGAGGAGTAGACGAAAGTGATTAAACAGTGTCTTAAGAAATTTTGGTTGAATAGATCTCAAGAAGATGAAGATAAAGGTTGTCAATGGTATCAAAATTATTGTTTATTCTATTCATCTATCTATCTGTTGTATATATTTATTAATTGACTTGCTTATTCTGTTCTGAGGGAACTCAAACTAGCTTGAATGCATTTATTTTATTCAGAATTGTAAACATACAGAAAATGTTTCATGTAAAAACAGAAAAAAAACACACACAAGACACAACAATGACACTGTATACTAAATGTTTCAATTGTGTTTTCATGTTGCATTTCGATGGAAAGTTCTTGTTTTGAAGTTTTGATGACCGTAAATCGGATCTGTCTCGTTTTGTTTTTCTAAGCATATCTCTCAATTTTTTATTCGATGTCTCTCTCTCTCTCTCTCTCTCTCTCTCTCTCTCTCTCTCTCTCTCTCTCTCTCTCTCTCTCTCTCTCTCTCTCTCTCTCTCTCTCTCTCTCTCTCTCTCTCTCTCTCTCTCTCTCTCTCCCTTATATATACATGTATATGAATGCACATACATATAAACATACATATGTATATGAATGTGAATACATATACATACACACACACACACACACACACACACAAACACATACACACACACACACACACACACACACACACACACACACACACACACACACACACACACACACACACTCACACACACACACACACACACACACACACACACACACACACACACATATATATATATATATATATATATATATATATATATATATATATATATATATATATATATATATATATGCATATATATATATATACATACATATATATATATATATATATATATATATATATATATATATATATATATATATATATATATATATGTACCTACATATATGCATATATATATATATATATATATATATATATATATATATATATATATATATATATATATATATATATATATATGTATATACACATATATGTATATATACACAGAAGCGAGGTGTTGCTCCTTGGCTCCCCGCAGGGAGTCTGCCTGTCATCTCCTACAGTGGTCTAAGGAACACTATAAGTCACGTATTTAGCATGTGACAACCGGTGATTAACAAAGAAGTGTTACAGGAATACATAGCTCTTGCGGAAGGGGATAGACAACACAACATTGGAATGTCTAGTGTGGTAAGAAGAGATGACCAATCGGTTAAAGCAAAGAGTAAATGTATATGTATGTGTGAGGATACGTTTGTGACAAACATGTGAGGTTATATAAAATATGTAGAATGTAGTAATATGATAGAGGTGTAGCTGGGTTACAATGTTTGTATATATGCGTGTGCGTGTGTGTGTGCGGGTGTATGCGTTTGTATGTGCATAGTATATAAGCCAGATTGATCATTTCACAATAAGCATTGCATCATGCAGAAACAATACATATACCTAAGTCCGGCAACTGATAAGGTTAATTGGAGATCCGATTTTGATGCAGCATGGGATACTTTCCCAGTGATCATGCTCTTGGCTTCGTTTTTAGGGCTGACGTTATCAAGGACCTTCACGCCTTGCATTTATATTCATAAATAAGTGCATAACTTCACGTGTCGAACCTCCGTTTTATCAGAAATCAATAACAAAGAGCATGGTTAGGAACATAAACAGTTATATAAGGCAGGGTAGGCTAGAGTGAGAGCCCAGTATGGATTTGTGACTTCGTATACAAAAGGTATATTTGGAGGGAATATTCCATCTATTTCTATTGAGATTCATTCGGACTTTAAAGAAACAGAGTGCATCACAACGGGATAACCGAGAAAATGGAAGACAAACATCTGTGTACATTCGTAGCGAGTTTGTTCAATATTTTTGCCATTCACTTTACCGCCAAGAGAAAGAATGGCTCTCGAATTTAGAACATAGCAACCGTAACGCGTTTCGTTTATATTAATGTCAGGATACATTTGCGTATATTAGGTTACAGAATCATGTAACGCTATATGTTTGCTAAACCAAGAGGGACGGGGAAAATATTGCATTCCGTTTATAAGTACTACACTGTCGGAATTATGATTTGCGATGTGATTAAATCTATATAAAACAGTTTTGTGTGAAATTATCAATTATTCATTTTCTGTGTGTATCTCTATATGTGTAGGCGTGGGTGTGTGCGAGTGTGTGTATGCGCATATGCATACACTTTCCACATCTGCATCATATTGAAACTAAACTTTGCCTGCCTGACGTTGTTTTATCAGTTAAACGTGTCGACTGTGTTATGTGTCTAAGATGGGATCCGAGTCGACATTAAATTCAATGTCTAGATCCCTCAACCGTGTCCGTGTCATTGTTATTTTTCTTACTTACTATTATTTTCAGTTTTACAAAATATTCCTTCTAGTATGTATAAGACTGTGGCATTGGTGCTGGTCCTAAGCCTGGCGGGAGTTCTCGAGGCTTTCCTCTCCAGGAGCGAGGGCAGTTGGGGCGTCAACTTGAGTGCGGTAAGACTCAGGGGGAAATTCTCTGTTCGGGATGTCATATATTTTGTGTGTCAACGTAAAGGGTGGTCCTTTAGCTTCAGTCTCTCTCTCTCTCTCTCTTTTATATATATATATATATATATATATATATATATATATATATATATATATATATATATATATATATATATATATATATATGTATATATGTATATGTATAAATTATATAAATATATATATATATATATATATATATATATATATATATATATATATATATATATATATATATACATATGTGTGTGTGTGTGTGTGTGTGTATGTATGTGTGTGTATAATACACACACACACACACATATATGAATATACATATATATCTATATATATACATATATATATATATATATATGTATGTATGTATGTATATATATGTATATATGTATGAATATATGTATGTATATATATACATACACACACACACACACACACACACACGCATCTATCTATCTATCTATCTATATATCTATCTATCTATCTATCTATCTATCTATCTATCTATCTATATATATATATATATATATATATATATATATATATATATATATGTACGTATGTATATATTTATATATCTATGTATGTATAAATATATATGTATATCTTTGGTAGAAAAAAACACAATAATTCTGGTTATTACATTGTGGGTTATCTACCATAGTATCAACACGGTAGAGTGTTTTCATCATTCATGTATATCTTTATATACATATAAATATATATATATATATATATATATATATATATATATATATATATATATATATATATACATATTATATACATATATATATATATATATATATATATATATATATATATATATATATATATATATATATATACATATATACATGTATATATATGTATATATGTGATATATACATACATATATATATATATATATATATATATATATATATATATATATATATATATATATATATATATATATATATATATATATATATATATATATATATATATATATATATATATATATATATATATATATATATATATATATATATATATATATATATATATATATATATATATATATATATATATATATATATATATATATATATATATATATATATATATATATATATATATATATATATATATATATATATATATATATATATTATATATATATATATATATATATATATATATATATATATATATATATATATATATATATATATATATTTAGATATATATATGTTTGTGTGTGTGTGTGTGTTTCTGTGTGCGTTTTGCTAATGCAACAAGTGAGAAGGCCATGGCTGTTCAGGAATGTTTTTAAAAATATATTGGGATGATTATTATGATACACACAAGCATACATACACTCAAAGACGTACACTTAGAATCACACAAATAGACACACACACACACACACACAAAACACATACCACACCCGCGCCTACAATCTCAGCCCAATGCAGCCGGAGATGATCCAGGCCCTCGGCTACCCTGTGGAAGTGCACCACGTGACCACCAGCGACGGCTACATCCTCGAACTGCACCGCATCCCCTTCGGTTTGTCCTCGGAGGGCTATAGAGACCGGCCTGTCGCCTTGCTCTACCACGGCTTGTATGGGTCTTCGGCTGACTGGATCTTGAACAGGGCTGACCAGGCTTTGGGTTCGTATGGTGACTTTTAATGATGTATTGTTGTTACTGTTTATTTATTTTGCTCGAGGGGGTTATGTGGGTTTAATAAAGAAACGAGATAAAGGAAGGATACGAGTCTTGTGTTAGTCACAGAGTTCGATTCATGCATAAGCAGAATCGAACTCATATAAGAAGACGAGGAAAAAAACAAAAAACCATGTATCCTTTCGTTTTAATCCATGGATATAACAAATAATCAACACTACATCCCCGCCTCCTTCAGCTTATGTCATGGCTGACGACGGTTATGACGTGTGGCTGGCGAACGCGCGAGGCAACAGGTATTCGCGCGCTCATCAAACTCTCGACCCGAAGGACATCAACTTCTGGGATTTTAGGTGAGTAAGCGCTTAGAAAAGAGTTATCATTAATTTAACCAACAAGATTCATTCGGTGTAAATTCCATCTGAAAAGGGCGGATGTTGGAAAAAAAAGGTATCGTATCGATTATAGCAAATGAGAGATTTTGGTCAGTTAGTAAATAATGAATCACCTACTAACCTACGAATGAGACGCTTAGATAAATAATTATCAACCTCTTCACAAAGGACAACCAGTGAACTATGATACACCCTACCGACAAATAACCACTAAAATAAAAAGACTCTCACCCACAACAGTTGGGACGAAATCGCTGACTTCGACCTCCCAGCTACGATCGACTACGTGTTACCAACCACCGGAGCAAGAGACCTGTTCTATGTTGGCTTTAGCATGGGAACCACTGTGTTCTTTGCTATGTTGAGCGAACACCCTGAATATAACGCTAAGGTAAGAGAAAGCATCTATACAAATATATATATATATTTATATATATGCTTATATATATTTATAGAGAGAAAGAGAGAGAGAAAGAAAGCGAGACAGGCAGACAGAAATAGAGAAAGAGAGATTGATAGGTAGATAGACAGATAGCCATATCAATAGATAGACAGATAGACAGATGAACAGAGAGAAACCCAGAAACATATAATATATCCCAACCTCTATCGTTTTTTTTACTCCCACCCACCCCCTCCCCGACGCCTCCCCCTACCTCCCCCGGGCGCCGAAAGATCCGCGCGATGGCCGCCTTGGCTCCTGTGGCTCACCAGGGGAATGCGCGCGGTCTTGCGTCCCAAGTGGCTCCCTTCATCAACCAGATTGACGTGAGTGCAGGGCCATAAGGGTGTGGTCTTTTCGTTTTGTTGTCATTATTGCTGTTATTTTGCTCCGTTTTTGTTTTTGGTTTCGTTTGTTCTCTGCTTATTTATTCACTTTTTCCTATTGCACCAACTGGAGAGCAATTGGGAAACTATTTTGCAAAAAAAAAATATATATATATATATATATATATATATATATATATATATATATATATATATATATATATATATATATATATTTTTTTTAGGGGGGAATTATGTACAAAATACACAACTTTTAGATACGGCGGCTCGTATATCAAATGGCATTGGCTGATTTTATAAGATAAGATAATAATGCTTCATTTCTTTTTGCAGAAGATGTTCACTAACATGGGCGTGGGCGAGATTTTCCCCAACAATGCACTCACGCGTTCGGTGGCGATGAAATTCTGTGACAGGAACTCTCCTACAGCGATAATTTGCCGCAAGATCCTCGCCATCATCGGCGGACCCAATCCCGATGAAATGAACAGAGTGAGGCTCTTTTAACGCGCTTGATAGGCCCTCTCTCTCTTTTCTCCTGTTTCCCTCATTTATATGGGGGATCTTGAACTACAAAGAACCTATTTGATATTGTTAATTGGAGAAGCTTTTTCCCATTTTTTCTTTCATTTTTTTTCTAACGCCATAATTTAATAGCATTTTGTCTGAAAACGTTTCTTTAATGACGATATTCTCTGCCACGAGGACCTCTTGCCGACTATCGCTGCGCACACCCCGGCCGGCACTTCCGTTCACAGCGTCACTCACTTCGGTCAACTCATGACTTCAGGCACGTCCTTCTGTCGTTTTAAATAGCTTAATGAATTATGAAAAGGAAGCAACCACAATAAGTCATGAATTTTATTACATTTCTTTTCTTCTTGTAGGTGTTTCCTCTTTGATCTTTGTGTATGCGTTACTGTGTTTGTGGTTATGTTCATCATGAATTTATATTTCGCCAAATTGGGTAATTTTTCGAAGACGTCCCTGCGATGGATCACGACGATACTGAGACTGGTGGATTCCTCTCGCCCTCTGTTACTCACATAGGAAGGATTTTTTTCCGTGGAATACAGTACTGATTGCAGTGCCATCAAATGAGTGAATACAACCATAGGAGTGTTAGTTTTCTACGGAAAACCTGTGCCACGGGGTCCACAACTGGAGTATCACGGATTTACTGGCGGCCTCGCGGCCCTTAGACGTCGAGATGGGACAAATGTGAGGGGTGTTTAGTTGCTCTGTGATTTTGTACATCATATCTGGCCCGCATACCCTATACTCATAACATATCTGGCCCGCATACCCTATACTCATATCATATCTGGCCCGCATACCTATACTCATATCATATCTGGCCCGCATACCCTATACTCATAACATATCTGGCCCGCATACCTATACTCATATCATATCTGGCCCGCATACCCTATACTCATAACATATCTGGCCCGCATACCTATACTCATATCATATCTGGCCCGCATACCCTATACTCATAACATATCTGGCCCGCATACCCTATACTCATAACATATCTGGCCCGCATACCCTATACTCATAACATATCTGGCCCGCATACCCTATACTCATAACATATCTGGCCCGCATACCCTATACTCATAACATATCTGGCCCGCATACCCTATACTCATAACATATCTGGCCCGCATACCCTATACTCATAACATATCTGGCCCGCATACCCTATACTCATAACATATCTGGCCCGCATACCCTATACTCATAACATATCTGGCCCGCATACCCTATACTCATAACATATCTGGCCCGCATACCCTATACTCATAACATATCTGGCCCGCATACCCTATACTCATAACATATCTGGCCCGCATACCCTATACTCATAACATATCTGGCCCGCATACCCTATACTCATATCATATCTGGCCCGCATACCCTATACTCATAACATATCTGGCCCGCATACCCTATACTCATAACATATCTGGCCCGCATACCCTATACTCATAACATATCTGGCCCGCATACCCTATACTCATAACATATCTGGCCCGCATACCCTATACTCATAACATATCTGGCCCGCATACCCTATACTCATAACATATCTGGCCCGCATACCCTATACTCATAACATATCTGGCCCGCATACCCTATACTCATAACATATCTGGCCCGCATACCCTATACTCATAACATATCTGGCCCGCATACCCTATACTCATAACATATCTGGCCCGCATACCCTATACTCATAACATATCTGGCCCGCATACCCTATACTCATATCATATCTGGCCCGCATACCCTATACTCATAACATATCTGGCCCGCATACCCTATACTCATAACATATCTGGCCCGCATACCCTATACTCATAACATATCTGGCCCGCATACCTATACTCATATCATATCTGGCCCGCATACCCTATACTCATAACATATCTGGCCCGCATACCCTATACTCATAACATATCTGGCCCGCATACCTATACTCATATCATATCTGGCCCGCATACCCTATACTCATAACATATCTGGCCCGCATACCTATACTCATATCATATCTGGCCCGCATACCTATACTCATATCATATCTGGCCCGCATACCCTATACTCATAACATATCTGGCCCGCATACCCTATACTCATAACATATCTGGCCCGCATACCCTATACTCATAACATATCTGGCCCGCATACCTATACTCATATCATATCTGGCCCGCATACCTATACTCATATCATATCTGGCCCGCATACCTATACTCATATCATATCTGGCCCGCATACCTATACTCAT